GAAGAGAGGAGATGAGGGATTCCTAATTTCGTCCCAAGTTCAGTAAACGTGTTTTTGTACAGAATGCGGTGGTAGGGCTGCGAATTGTTGTATGCGTTGTATGATTGTATGCATTGTATGTATGATTGTATGTATTGTATGATGGTATGCATTTAATGTATTGTATGATTGTATGGATGGATGGTATATAATGTAAGCCCCGGGGCGGGTCTCGTGCGTAGTCACCTCCACGTGGTGAGACCTGGTAATCGATATCGTTTTAGAAACATCACAATTTGTATAACGTTATCCAGCTAAATTGTAAAACGATGTAAGATAAATTTTGATGTTTGTAAAACGATATCAAGCTAAGAACTACGCAACCTACAGTTCAGTTTGATCTAAATTGAACTGTAGGAACAATTAGTTGATAAGTAAAATATTAGACCCCCCAGCGGGGCACCGAGTGACAACGAGGGATCTCGCAGGGACATCATGGGATGTGTGCGCCTTAGCGTTATGTTGCGTGCGCTTAGTTTTGGTTAAGCGTAAGACGGTTGTAAATTGAATTTTAGCACATTCTATAGAATGATACTTTTATTGCGAAATTTTTATTTTTTCTATAAATATGTAAAATATTTTAAATATTATAACCTAATTATAATTATTTTCAATTTGAACTTTGATTTGTATTTTAATATATTGTGCTTTAGTTTACTTTTCACCGGGTTTCCTTTAAAATTCTTTTTGCCGTTCGTTTGCACAAACATAAGAATTTGTGAACATTTTGCAATCGCATATCAAAAGGAGTTTCATTTTTTTTTATTGAATGAATTTGTTTTGAAGTGGAAGAAGGATTAATGGCACAAGGGTGGGTTTTGGTACGTAGCAATCCCGACCAGGGCAATCATTGTTATTTTGTGGTACAATTACTAATTGCATTCCTACGATACAATTATAAATACCATAACCAATAATATGATCTAATCGGCTGCGCGCACTATTTAGTTTTTATGTATTTAAAGTATTGAGTTATTAGAGAGGGTTCCTAAATTTTGTTGGTTTCTAAAATTCTGGATTGAGTTTTTTAATGATAGCATATAGTGCATTTGTAAATATTGTTGAAGATCGTGGACTTTAGATTTTGATAGATATTTTAAAATATGATTTGATAAAATGATAGATCTTTTCTATGTCGTCTCCTTTTTGATTAAATATCAGGTCTATTTTAAATATATTTTCCTAAGTATATTTCAATAAATAAAACATCCCGTTACAAGTAATAATTTTATTGTTTCCAATGAAAAACCAATCGATAAATTCGTAAAACACGAACAGAGCTCTTTCTGACACCCCCATAAGTACATAATAGAATAATTTTAGATACTAATCTCGTATTTTGGAATCT